TTCTGATGCAGCAGACTATACGCTCTGTGAAGGCAGGGACTAGTGGGAAACACAGTCAATAATTGTTTTCAATCACTCACTTAACAAGCGTTGACTGAGCCCACTTGGCACTGAGATAAACTCTGAGAATACAGCAGTGAGCAACCCACAAAACCGTTGCTCTGAGAGTTTGCTTTCTAGTGTGGAAGATAGATAATGGCAAAATATAACATACACGAGAAAAATAAAAGCAGGACTCCTACATTGCACATCTCCGGGGGGCACTATTCCTATGGGATACAACGTTAATGGCGCTCCCCAGATTTTGCAAGAGCAGCTGCCCTGGTAATGCCATAGCCCCAGGGCCTGGCCCAATGCTTGATATATGGTAAGCATTTTGGAAACAGTATTAAGGAATGAGTGAGTGACATAGTATGTGGTCTTTCTCAGTGTGGTAATGTGTTTTAATGTCCCCCTCCACCCCCATTTCTGCATACGCTTCCTGGCCCCTTACAGTCAGGTAGGGCCATGTGACTGATTCCCATCCCACTGAGATGGGATTCACCCCACCTGGTGGGTGTCTGACCTCCAGCTGTTTTTTTTTCTCCTGCTGCAGACCAAGGCAGCTACAAGATGTGGATTCTCTATTGCCCAGAGCCCCTGCGTGGAGCAGAGCAGACCCTCGTTGGCTATGAAGTATTGAGATATGCCTTTGTTACATTAAGCAGCTGAGGCTTGGGGGTTTGCTTGCTGCTTGCTGCTTGCTGCTTGCCGCTTGCCACAGCCTGACTAATGCTCTCACCCTCCTGTGAACTCTTGGCGTTGGCCCCGGGGCCATTTACCCAGCCCAGCACAGAGGTGCTCAGTAGAAAAGAACTGAGAGATGAGAGAGCAACTAGTAATCGTCATTCGCAAGTGGTGTCAGTGCATTTTTCCTCTGCGGACATTCCTCAGCTCTTAGGGAACGTACTCCTGGGGGCCCTGGGCCCGTCCCCAGTGGCTGGATTGTTCCTTTCCAAGGGGCGGGTTTCCTTTTACGTGCAAGGCCAGCTCTATGGTGAGGTAATGCTGCCCTTTCCACACAGGACAAACATCACACCAGCTTCTTTCCATGTGATGCAAACAATCCAGAGAGAAGCCATGATTTAGGACATCTCTAGGCCCCCAGATTTGAAGCAACTGGGGTCACTGCCTACCCAAGCCCCTCGGTGTGGCTCGCACAAAACAGACACTCACAGCTGTGCTGTGAGTGCAGACAGAGGTGTGGACCAACACTCTCCATTCCCCACAGGGTCGGAAATACAGCGTTGCAGATCCGGGGCTTCTCAGATCACCTGGAGGGCTTATCCAAAACCAGATGGCCAGCCCTCCCCCCAGTTTGTGACTCCGCAGTGTGTCTGGGGTGAGGCCTGAGAATTCGCATCTCTAACAAGCTCCTGGGTGCTGCTGCTCCTGGTTCCGGGACTATATTGTGTAAAACAATTGCTTTAGACAATGCTCTGCCTCTCAGCAACAAGGTTAAATGCCATACCACTAAGATGCGCATTACCACTTGCTACCAGCCATGAAGGATACAGGACAGGCTCATTCTTATTACGATTGCCTAGATCAGAAGTGGGGAAAGGATGGAGGAAGGATCAGCTAGCTGCAGGGAGATGAGGGTCTGGGAAACATCCAGTTCGAGGGTTATTGCCCAGAAGGAGGGCTGATGGGTGTCACCAAGGAAGGTCCTGGGATGAGAGCCAGGAGGACGCTGGGCCAATACGAGGGTCGGGGAAACAAGTGTGAGAGCTGATTGTTGGAGAGTGAAAAGAGCACTGGACTTCAAGTCCAGAAACCTGTAGTCTTCTCCCACAAGGCCTTGCAGCTGCTGGGAGGAGCCAAGACTAGCCACTCTGAAGTCACTGAGGCAGATCTAACAGCGCTCATGGGTAGAGGCTGCAAGGTTGCTGGGTGGGTAGGCCCAGCCCAGGGCCCTGCGTCCCATGTGCCATCTGTACCAGGCCTGAGACCCAGGGTAAGAAGCCACCAGGCGCTGCAAAGCACTTCCGCATATTCCCACTGACTTCCTCCCCGTGGTCCCAGCAGGGTTGTGCTGTGCAAGGGGGTAGCGTGGGCAGCCGTGACTCACTCGGCCTCGTGAGCAAGCAGATGCTGCCACTGCAGCCAGCTGCCATGGAAACAGGCTAAATCAATCTCAGATCCCTGCAGGGGGCAGAGAATGAGCTGCCTGAAGCCAGTGAGCCGGGACTGCTCTGGGTGCAGGCACCAAATCAGTGAGTCCGGCCTGTGCTATGCTGGCCCCTGAGCTGTCTGGGGAGCTGAGCTGCGAAAGGCAGCAACAGAGCTGGGACAGGGACCGGAGCCTGTGACAAGTGGCAGATGGGAGGCTGTGGTGGTGGCATGGGAGCACCAGACTGACTGTGGAACATTTGTGCTTCATGGGTGGGGTGGGAAGAGGAGAGGAAAGCGTGGCTCCTGGCCCCCTCCCAGGTCTCCTGTTTGGAAGGACCTAGCTCCTAGGAAACTGCTCCCTGGCTAGACAGCGTGGACCTGCCCTCCACGGCCAGAAAGGGACCTGGAGAAGAAGGGAAACTGGGCCAATGGCCTACTCGAAGTCCCACCACTTCCAGAGGCAGTCGGACGGGGCTCCTGTGCACCAACCCCTCATTGTTGTAGTATTTTTTATCCTCACTCGAGGACATTTTTTATTGCTTTTGAAGAGAGAGGAAGGGAGAGTGAGAAAGAAAGAGAGAGAGACAGAGACCAAGAGAGAGAGAAAACATGAATGTGAGAGAGAAACATCAATTGTCCCTTGTACGTGCCCCGACCAGGGATCGAACCCACCACCATTTGGTTTATGGGACAAGACTCCAACCAACTGAGCCAGGGCAACCCTTCATCGTTTTTCACCGGACACCTGTCCCAGGGAAACAAACTGACGGCCCCTGGGAATTTGCTTGGCCTGAGTATCTGCTCTCTGAGGCTGTGGGAGCTGCCGTTAGTAACACACTCTGCTTTTCCCAAAGGCGACAGGGCGTCTCCAGCCAGCTTTCCCGACCTTCCTCACCACCCTTCAACCGAGGCCAGTGAGTTCCACGGGCTCCACCAAGCAGACGGTGGAAATCCCAAGTTTCCAGGTTTCCCCATCGGCTATCATTACCGGGTGGGGGAGCAGCCAGAACTGCTCCTGTTGGGTTTTCACACCATCCCTTTCCAGGGTAGGTAATGGTGTGAACTCACCAGTCCCATCTGGGGGTTCTCAGGCTGCGTCCCCAGTTGTCCCCTCTATCTGTTCCCAGCTGAGGTTCCCAGCTGGCTGTGGTGACGTGGGCGCATCTTCATACCTGGAGGACCCTCAGCCCCGCGCAGTCCCCACCTCCCCAGCTGCTCCTTCCTTCCCCTTCCTCGCCTGCAGGGCGGCGAGGAGGGACTTTCCCCTTCCATTTCAAGGATGGGATAAAGGCCATTAGCTGGGCCTCGACCTCCACTTTCCCTTCCACCTCCTGTTTAAAGACAATCCCTTTGCCCACCCATCTGTGTCTTTGACCCATTAACGATCTCCTTTCTCCTAATTGTTCAGCTTCTGCTCTTCTGTGAACTCTTCCTCCCCAGTCTGTCAGCACCGACCCCTCTGTCCCATGTGAAAGAACGACCAAGCCAAACACGGGCTCTCCTCTGGCCACTCTCCTGCCCCAACCGAAAAGCTGCCCCTCAGAGCAGCCTGCACTCTTCTCCCCATTCGTGCCTCCCAAGGGTCCGAACCTCTGTGATGCCAGCATCTCAGCTCTTCCTCCTCTGCCCTACGCCCCCCAATCCTGTCTGCCAGGGACAGAGTGGCACCTGAGGCTGTCTCCGATGTTCCCAATAGTTCTAGTCCCCAGGGCACCAGAGGGGGTTTGGTTCCAAGTAAGGGGTTGGGCAAGCTCCCCACCCCGACCCCAAGCAGAAACACTCGTGCTCGCGGTTTCCCGAACGGCCTCCCCAGCTCCAGCCCCTGCCCTCCCTGCCCACTCCCCTTCTCAAATTGGCTGCGGAGATGCAAGGCCGTGTGTGTGAGAGCAGAGCTCAGGCTGTCATTTTGCTCTGTCCCTGGAGCTGGTCAGCTGCTAGAAAGGCCAGCGTACCTCCAGCCTCACACAGATTCTTCTCCAAGCCCTTCTACGGCCACCAAATGGAGACTTTCACATTTTAAAGGGACCTTCCGGCCCAGGGTCCATCCCTCCCACTGGGGACTGCTGGCAAAGGATCGGCCTGTCTGGCTTGAGTAGTTCCCAGAACAGAAGGCTCTCCTCTTGATGAGGGAGTCTCTGAAGAGACTGGCTGATGGAAACATCTTCCTGATTTTGATCTGAAATCTGCCTCCTTGGAACTTCCACCCACGTCGTTCTGTTTCCCTCATCCTTGGAAGAAAATGCCTCATCATCATCTAATTGGTCTTTCAGCTACTGTAAGAGGTGAGTGTAGAACTGTTTGCCTCTGTTATAAGAAGCGGACACCTGGGGAGGATAAACAGCTTGTGAAAAAGTTTCAGGTGGAGTTGGAAATAGAACCCAAGTGTCTTTGCCTCCCAGGCCAGCCCTCCTTCCATTACTCTGTGTTTCTTAACAGAAGAAACAATCCTTGCCAATTGTCACTGAATACCTACTGTGTGTACCTGGAGGAGCAGGTAGGCGGAGGCGCAGGACACCTCGAGCCTCACTCCAGCTCCAAAAGCACAACCCCCACATGCCCACATACACTTCACAGCACTTGCTCAGCCAGCAAACTGGGTGGCCTCACCTCCATCCCAGAAACCCAGGCTTCTTCCTTACTTTCAGCTGCTCCCCACAGCACAGGCCAATAAGTAGGACAGGGGAAAATGTAGACAAGCTTCTCTTAACCAGAGAAGAGAAGAGTCTGCACTTGAAATGAGAAGAAAGGCCAGAAGAAGAGTTTGCAAATGATAGCTGTCAACACCAGGCTTGGAGAGCCCGCACAGAGAGCTCGTGGGTGGGTCGGTGTGCGGGCGGGATGCTCACCAGGTGCCAAGGCTGAGTCGTGTGGCAGAGGGAAGAAAGGGTGCAGGGCCGGAGTGGTGCCAGAACTGCAAACTGGACGGCAAAGACCTGGTCTCAACAAAGGCAGGCCCTGGCAGATTGCAAGTACCTGGCCCTGTGGGCATGCTCCACCCCCGGAGATGTGTCTCCATCTTCGTTAAAGGCACAGCGCTCGAATTCCAGTATCGGGCTGAGCATCTGGCCGCAGCATTAGCACTAGGCACTCCAGGCTTCACTTTGTCTCCCCTGGATGGCAGCATGTATTCCACCGAATCCTGTAGGCACAGAGAGACCCAGGCTCTATTCTCTGAAGCTTCAGAGAAGTGTTATGCAAACACCTACCTTGATGGGGTGCTCGGTGTTAAGGTTTTGGCCTGAGAAGCACCTGGACGAGAAAGAGACTCCCAGAAGGCAACATGCAGTAGGAACTGTAACAGGGGCTTATGCCGATCGCTAAGTGAGTGCAAAGCTGACTAGTTACCACTGAAGAACCCAGGGAAAGCTTCAGGGAAGAGGAGGCAAGAGGCCCAGACAATGCCTTTCATGAGGACAGGTTCATCTGGGCCAAGGCCAGGGCACTGAGTTCCTGAGATTACCGGAGGAGTCAGGGACACGAGGAGGCTAGGAGTCAAAGGGGTGACAGACAGAGGCCCACAGGACCACAGTGCTGCAGGGGCACAAGCAGACTCCTACCCTGGAGCAGAGACTGAGGTCAGTGTCCCTGCACCCAGAGTCCAGGCCAGGTGAGAGGGAACTCCACCCTCAAACAGCCCCGGAACAACTAAGCCTTCCAGGTGACCCGCAGATCCACAGCCTGTATTTTTTACTTGGTTTTACAGACCATGAAGTGCAGGGCACATGGGATCATCCCACCGATTTAAAGGATCGGGTTCAGTGCAGGCAGCGAGGAGGATTTCAGGAGATGAAGATGACAGATGATGGGCAGGAGGGAAGGGGGACGAGGCCTGCAACAGGCACAGTGTGAGGACAGACCCAGTGGCGAGCAGGTGGCGTCCGCGGGCTGCATCGGGCACTGCGGCAAGGCTGACGTGGGTGTGTTTGGCAAAAGTGGGTTCAAAATGAAGAGCTAGGATGGAAAGCCCGGTAAGGCCAGGGATGACTGCATACCCAGAAATTTGGACTTTTTTGTGCAGGCAATGGGCAGGTTGGGGGCAAGCGGGTACTTTTGTTGGCTTTGAGAATATGGCTGATTACCAGCAACAATGTGGGGAAACACAAGGCAAAAATAGCAGTATTACTGCTCGCCACTTAACAGAGACCTTACAGAACAGAGGTAGTAGAGAGGAAAAGACAGATCTGAGAGATCATGGAGGTAGAATCAATAATACTTGGTGATGGGTTGAACATGGGAGCCAGGCAAGAGGGAGAAAAAGCCAAGGAGATCCTAAGCTGGTGAAGAGAAAGATGGTGATGGAAACAAAGTAGATGCAGTGCCCAAAGTCAGGAAAAGGGAAGTGGGACTGCAAAGAAACTCCATTTCTTTAACAACACTTCCTCCTTTCTGTCTGTCCACCGCCTTCCTTCATCATTAAGCCCACAGGGCCTTAGAGTCTGGTCAGCATCAAACTGTCTTTAGAACACAGCCTCAGGTGTGTTGCCACAGAAACCGACTTTGGGTCAAGCTAAAGATAACATCCTGACTTCAGCTGTGTTTTGGCCCCGGGCCGTGAAAGCAGAGTGACGGTAAGGACCATCATACCCTCCTGAAGCCACACAGAGCAAGGCCTTGCTGACATCGGGACCTGAGACACTGACCAGCTACTTCCCAGCCTGGCCCCAGGTGATCAGAAGAGCCCAGGACCTGAAGTCCTTCAGCCACCATGATTAGTTTTCCCGACACAGCCCGTTCCCTGGAAGCCACTGGGGCACCAGGTTGTGAGCATTAGCTCACCTAGGACTCCAGGCTTGGCGCAGTATCTTCAGTTAATTAAACCCTTTCCTTTCTTGGCTGCAGACTCTTGTTTGTGTTTGATTGGACTTTGATGTGTGCAGACAAACCTCTGGTAACAAAAGTATAGGATGTTGAGGAGAAATACGATGAATTCAGGTTTAAATACATTGAAATCGAGGTGTGGATTGGATCATCTAGGTGCCAGCATTTGTTAGGGGTCTAGACACACAGCTCTCTAGCAAAGGAGAGAGGTATATGGGAGACATTTTCACCCAGAGTCTCCCAAGATCACGGACATAGCTGATATGTAAAAGGAGAGCGTAAGATGAAAAGAGAAAAGGGCTCGAAAGGAACCTTGAGAAATGCAGAAGTAGAATTTCAAAGGGAGGGAAGGAGGCAGAGGTGTGGCCGGTCCGTGAAAGCAGGAGACTGGAGACTGCTGTATTCTCGCTGCCTGCGGAGGGAGGAGCTTCAGAAAGACCGTGAACTGTTCCAGTCAGGATTCCGACGGTAAGGGTGTGAAAACCAACTCTGACACAGACATGAAGGAGATCGATCTGTTGGTTCAATAACCAGGCAGGGGGAAGCAGTGATGCTGGCTGAACTGACCTTTGTTGTCCTGTGGCCTCTACTTCTGCTCCCTCCCTAACAGCACATGGGTTTTCCTTTGAGGCTACTCCTCCCTGATAGACACGGTCTGGCAGGGCCCAGCCCTAATGAGGAGCAGGCCTGTGCCTCCAGCTGGGCCAGTCTCCAAACCCTCCCTGAAACTTGAATCTGGAACAGAATAAAACAGAAAAGACAGAAGGGTGGGATTCTCGTGGCTCCAGCATTCTGTCTGAGCAAACTGTTCCACCATAAGAGCTTTTTTTTTTTTTTTGGTCTATCATGCTTGTTTGGCCTTGAGGTGGCCCAGATTCCCACCCATCCCAAGCCCGGCTCTTCAGACTTCTATTAATTCTGTAAAAATCTGGTATCTTTCAAATAAATTCTCTTTGGACAAGAAGAACAAGGCTGTTGGCAACTGAGGAATCCTGAGTGACAGACCAGCCTAGGGACACACTCCACCCTCTTTCTCCTTCCATCTGGACACCCCTGTTCATTGGAATCTGACGTGCGCAGCCCCAAGACCAGAGAGAAAACACCGGGTCCGAGGCTCTCATTGTGCCCGTTGCTGAGCCTGGGAGGTGAACTCGTGATGAGAAAGGACAGTGCTCCTTTAAAGTGGAGGAAGGGGCTGTTCCCCAGCCATCTTGCTAAGGCGCGGGTTGACTCTGTAGGGCTGGGCATGGGCCTGGGATTCTGCATTTCAGACCCGCTCCTAGTTGGGAGGCCCATGCTGCCAGGGCCCAGAGACTTGCATCCCCGAGAAGCCAAGCTCTGTAGGCCTAAACAGGGAGGCTTGGTGGGCTGAAAAGGAGGCATTCGGGCACTTTACACCTCTGCTGATCAAACAGCTGTTTCAGTGGACTTACTGGGGTGAGAGCCAAGTTCCTGTGAGCTGAGGCACAGGGTGGGAGTCGGAGGGAGGGAGAGCAGATGACAGAGGGTGTGGAACGCCTTAGCGTGTGACAGTACCTGCCCACCTCCTGTCACCTGCCCACCTCAGATGTCAGAAGTGTGTGCTTCTCAGAGGAGCACTCTGGAAAAGTACAAATCAATGTTTGTTGGAGGGGGACGGGCGTGTGGAAGTCTGTCCAGCTGCCCAACCTTGTCTCCAGCTCCTCCCAGCGTCAGCCAAGCGACACCCCACCAGTCTCAGGCATCACAGCCCTGCACATTGGGTGTTCCTGACCTGTTAAGGGCTCTCCACACTTTTCTCCCCTCATTTTCCATCCTACCTGATGTCTTCTCATCTTCTCCATCACCTCAGAGAACCCTTTGCAGTAGAGTAGAAGATTAGACATAAGTCATGTTATTTTCTTGCTCAAAACTCTCCTATGGCTCTTACATTACCAGTAAAAGCCCAAATCTTCACCATAGCTTCCAACACCTCACGTGACTGGGCTGCCCATCTCTCCCAGCCCTCGTCCCCATCCCCCACCTCACTCCCAGCACCGCCTCACCTTTCCTCAAACTCACCCCTCGGGCTCCCAACTTGGGGCCCTTCCACTTTTGTGCATATTAATTGCCTCATCTCCTTCACATCTTTCTTTAAAAGTCACTTTCTTTATACAAAAACTTGTACTCAAATGTTCACAGCAGTATCATTCACAATCACCAAAAGATGGAAGCAACCCAGTGTCCATCAACAGATGAACGGATAAACAAATTGTGGTATATCCATACAATGGAATATTATTTGACCATAAAAAAGGAACAAAGTACTGATAATATGTTACAAATTAGATGAACTGTCAAAACATTGTTACGTGAAAGACGCCAGCCACAGAAGGCCACAGATTGTATGACTCCATTTATGTAAAATGTTCAGAACAGAGAAATCTATAGAGACAGAAAGAAGACTAATTGCCTGGGGAGGGAGGAGTGGAAAGTGAGAGCTGATGAGTACAATGTTTCCGTCTGGGATGATGAAAATGTTCTAAAATTGATTGAAACTGTGGTTGCACAAACCTGTGCATATACCCAAAGCCAGTCAGTTGTATATTGTAAATGGACTATGGCATGAGCATTATATCTCAGTGAAGCTGTTACCAAAAAAAGCCGCCTTCTCAGCGGCTCAGCGCTGACTGCCCTATTTGGGCCTCGAGCCCCTCCTCCCCTTGTTTCTTCAGTCCTGCACACCCTGCTCCGGTTTTTTCCATAACAACCAGTGCCTTCTAACAAGCTATGCAGTTTACTTTCTTTTTAACTTATTTTTTGTGTTTCTTGTCTCTTTCCTAAAATAATTCTAAAACACTCAGGATCTGTCCTTCTTGTTTTTCTAACCCAGTGATGAGAACTGCAGTCCGGCTGCTGTGGTCTCTCTTAAAGCCCCGGGGACACGCCCGCCTCCTCCAGACCTCCCTAACTTTACTCCGGCTCTTTTCCTGCTCACGCTGTGGGACTTCTCTGCGGGACACCCACACACTTTCTCAGGGAAATCTCCCCACCTCTCTCAGCTCTCCAATTCACTCCCCTTCCGCCATGACACCCAAGAAAACCATTTCGTCTGGACAGATTCTCTGTTGAATTTTCACAAAATGAACACACCT